GTTTTAGCTCATTAGAGGTCGGTGGTTAATTAAATGTCCAGGAGGAGGGGGTTAATCAGCAACTGACCCTCAGGGTGATGCCGTCTCTCAAAGTCTCTTTTAATCAATACTTGTGGACACTGGCACGGAGATGAACTTCTCTGGCTCCTCAGCACGTTGAAGTGCTGCCTGTCTGGATATTTATTACCATTACTCGCCTCGAGGGAATATTTGGGCATTTGTCTGGGGGTGTGAACAGCTTATTAAAAAGTTAAACGCTTCGGTTCGTAAAATACTTCATACGTTACCTTGTTGCCAACACGTTGGTCTGAGCCTCATCTGCCAAAGAGAGGTGTCGGACTCTGATTTTCCACGCGGTGTTCCCAGCCACAGGAACTAATCCGTCACATCCTGTGGAGATGCAGTCTGACGTGCTGTCAACATAACTGCACATCAAAGACCACGGAGTCAACAGGGTGATGTGTGCTGCATTTTCTCTGCTCCTCCCACAGTCTCCAGCCAAAGGATGATCTAAACTCTTCTGCCTTCCCAGAAAGATCTGGAGATTGAAACACTTCTTTATCTCCGTGTCAGCTCGGACACATTTAGATTACTGTGATCAGGGCTCTCCAACAGGCCATCACCTCAAAACTCCCTGGTCTCTGTAGGTCTGAGGAAAGGACATCCATTTGATATTTGGACTGCAAAATAAATTCAGATGCCTCCCTTATGGTATCACATTATGAAAAAGTATCTCCTTCTATTTCTCAGTATTGATTTGACCATTCATTCTGACATAATCGAACATTTCATTTGCAGAAACTTAGCCCCGACCTTTACTTTTTTCCATTTGTAGCGTTTGCACTGTATAGCCAATAATTTCAATTATCATGTTATGTTATTTGCACACATTGCTGTTAATTTTTAAATTTTAATTTTTTTATTAAAATATCATCCCAACACCCAGCATGCATTTATGGAGGTTTCAACTTCAGCTCATCCAAAAATTGAAAAATGTTTGAACACAACTAATACACAACAATTCTATGAAGCAAATGACTCATATAATAATATATATTAATCATATAAAATAATTTTATGTGTGTGTGTCTATAGTATGTATGTGTGAATTTATCATCCGTTTACACATTGACGTAAAAAGGTGTTTAAAGCGGTGCTTCACCGGGGGATAAGCCGGTCTCCAGCAGGATCAGGCGTCGGTGGAAGTCATTACATCTGCTCTAGTGTGACGTCCCCCGGGTTCTGCTGCTGAGAGTTCGCTTCAACGCCTTCACTGTTTGTATGGAGCAGCACTGAACTCAGTCACTCAACTCCTATCACAACTAATCCTGCCGATGAGGCCGGAGCACACATGGCTGCAATCGTGGCCGTGTGCACACATGCATACACAAATACACCCTGCCCTCTGCCGCAGGAGGGGCCCGAGAGGTGGAAGTTGACTTTAAGCGGAGAAAACCAATGAAGAGCAGCTGCTGCAGGTCTATTTTTGTGTGTTTATAAAGCAGTAGGTGGGCTGCCGGGGAATACACATCTGCTCTTTACCGATTGTGGCTGTACCTCAGGGTTTTCAGCGTGTTTTACACTCCTTTAGGTCACAGGGTTTTACGGGATGGTGTCACGTGCGATGTCATTAAAATAGTGATATAATGGTTTGCATCTCTCCCTTCCTTGATAAATATCTATTAGTAAGCTCATTTTGTCTTCACGGCGTCTTTTGTTCGCTGATGTTTCTGGTTCTAGCGCTGGGCCCGAGGAGTGATTTGCACTATCAGAGGAAAACTGACACACAGGGGTCTGTGATCTGCTGAGCAGCAGCAGAAAACAAAACATTTCCCCCATCTCTGGAGGCTCATGAGTAATTGAAAATAAACAGTGTTGTGTCGCAGCACTGCTGCAGACAAAATACTAATTTGTGCTGCAGTCACAGGATTTGAACACCGCTCTCGGTGCACCTTTAATCCACTTCTATTTTGCCGATGTAAACAAGTGCCTCGTCACTATGGTCTGTGGCTCAGTGGCATGTGATTAGTACATTTTAATTGAGGAAAGGATTTAAATGTATAAATGTGGGGTTTTTTTTTCAGATGGGATGAGGTACAAATACGGTGTGTTTGAATGACTAAACTGAAAGCACTTTAAGGTCATCGTGGGGTTTTGGTAGTGGTTAGACTGTGAAGTCGTTTAATCCAAACGATATAGGATATCAATATTAACCTTCAAGCACACAACCAAATATAACTGTAAAGCAGAGCCAGACACGTGGGAACGACTTGACGCCGTTAATACCAAAAACTAGGGAGATCAATATTTGTCAGAGAAAAACACCAGGCAGAATTCTCAGAGCAAGAAAACACGTAATGATCAAAAACCTCAGGACAGGCAACAAAGACACGGTGGAATCCTTACACACGAGCCAAGTCCGTGAGGGAAAGAAAATAAAACTGGATTTGATACACGGTTGAATAAACACTAAATAAAAAAGAATAGTTGAGCTCTGGCACAATCCCTGGTTTTCTGTAACACATTTGAAGCCGAGCTCAGAGACTGGGAAACAGGAAACAGTCATAGATATGGTTAAAGCGCAGGGTTAAAAAAAAAAATTTGGTTAAAGCTCAGGGTTAAAAAAAAAAATACATATATTTTTTTTTTTTTTTACTTTGCTGCCACATTTGAAGGAATCACAATATGAGTTAACATGAACCTGTAGAGTTGTCCACCCTTTCTAATGCTGTTCACAGTAAACAGGAAGTTATGGAGTTGTACTGTAAGGTGGAGTAGTCGTTGAAGGTGGTCTGGACTTCTGGTTTGTTTTTCAACATAATTCATAGCATAGAAGACTCAAGAAGAAGCTGCTAAAAAGATGATTTCTTGTTCTCCCAAAACTGGCAATTCCGAGGGCAACAAGCAGAGTTGCGATTAACCCCGTGTGACATTTGAAAACATTAGCCATCGGCCTAACGTTTCACCAGTTTCGTCTTGGAGAAGTGCTGCTTCCGAATGAAGAAGCTGAACACTAATGATTTCCACCTCGGTGACAGTTATGGAGAATAACAGTGATGCACCTGAACCCTGACTCTTTATCTACCAGCCTGTGTCACTGAGATGAATGGAGATTGTATTGAGCTGTATTGTCCTCCACAGTGAGCGCTAAACTGTGATGATGACACACGGCGTAAATCTGCCCGGGCCGCTGTGTGTGTGTGTGTGTGTGTGTGTGTGTTGCTCTTTGGTATTCAGAGGAAGGCGCAGTAGTAATTAATGAAGAGCAGCTAAATGGTCCTGCAGTGATGCTACATGCTAATGAGAAGCTATTGGTGTGGGGCCAACCGTGACAATCAGCCCGGCAGAATAAAAGCACGGGGGAGACACACGGGTGACACCGGGGCCGGGAGGGGGACAAATCAACCGATTTATTGCAGGCCTTTTCACCACCGTGGTATGAAATCACAGTTTGTTATGTGGTGTTGATTGTCGCGGGGCTTTTACAGGTTCATGGCTGTGTCTCCTGCTGATCTACTGTCTCACACACAAATACAAACACACATTTGTTACTTCGAGAAAAGTTGGAGTTGCGCAAGAATCCCGGGAAAAAAACTATATATGGAATTGCTGTTGTGTGCATATATATATATATATACAGTATATGAATATATATCTCACTAATTTTAATGAGCATTTTGTATATATGGTGATATATTTTAATATAATGAATTCATCTTTCCTCGTTGCTGTAATTTCAGCCCAATCCTGGGACAAACACCCATCACTGCATCTATTTACTCCGTGACACCTTGTTTGTTACTATGGCAACGCTTTGTTTTTCTCTCCTACTCTGATCTGTATTTAATAGCCACCATATGACAATCTCTTCTCGCCCTGGTAAACTGTTTTCATGTTATCTTGTTTGTTTGTTTGTTTTTTTGGACTTTGCTAAGGTGACAAACACTCTGACTTTGGAAGTCAACTCATCTGGACAAGTTGTTATCATTCAGAACTGTTTCAATTTAAATTTTGCGAAAACTTCCTCAGGAAAATGTAAAGCTCTGGTCCAAAGTTGTGCAAAAATTTTATTTTTTAACAAGTATTTGAGTATTTAATATCATCCCAAGAGAGTGATAATTAAAATAATTTAAAAAAATTTCATTGTGAAATATTTTTCTGCTTTTTTTTACGATAAATACATTGAATTACATATTGTTTTATCTTTATTTTAGTATTATAGGATACTAATTTTATTTTTAACAAGTACTGTATTTGAGTATTTAATATCATGAGAGTGATAATTAAAATAATTTTTAAAAATTCCAATGTGAAATATTTTTCTGCTTTTTTTTACATTTCTGTAGAATTTCTGATCAAATATAAATTGAAAATGTCACACCTACTGTGGTTATTAAGATTATGATTAACACCTTCAACCAATGCCCGAGTTAATCATTTCTCTGTGCGTCATGAGTTTCACATCCCTGTGTGTTACCCTGTAATATAGATGCAGCTGCTGTAGACACTCCAAAGACTTTGGACCTGACGTGGCTTTCATAAAAATTAAAGCTCACGCTCAGAGGAATACAGAGGTGAGAGGAAGTGTGGAGGGTGGCTCAGTTTGACCTCATCTGTCAGAGCGGAGGCTGAGAGTACATCCAGAGTAATGTCTGCACTGAGACTGCAGTTCAGTGATATGTGTGTGGTTTGTTTTAGACTGACTGTAGATGGAGGCTTTCCATCTATCCTCACACTTCTATGGGGTTTTCTTATTCCCGGTCTCCTGATGTCTGAGAGGGGAAACAGGTTATTGATTTCCATTGACATCAGTGCTTATTTCTTTTCCTTTGGTGACTTGTTGAAATTACAACATGTCAACAACAGTCGGTACCACTGAGCTTCAGGTGTTACAGCTGCTGTCACACGCAGCCACAGAATCAGTGTTTGCTAAGAGCAACATTTTGATGTTTGGTTTCTTCTTCTCTATCCCTCCATCTCTTCCTCTCCTCCCGTGACAGATCACCTTCTTCATGCTGCTGTCGGCTGTGTGCGTGATGCTCAACCTGGCCGGCTCTATCCTGTCCTGTCAGAACGCTCAGCTGGTCAACTCCCTGGAAGACTGTCAGCTGGTGAGACCAACTGGAGCTTTAAATCTTACCTGTCCACATCTGTTAGTCTTCATCTTATAATTTAATCCTGTCTGAGTGTCTAAATCAGATCAGATGTTAGGGTTTAATAATGTTTCTACATCCTGATTCAGTTTCGAAAAAAGGGAAACTTTCCTAGATTTTGACTTCCAGTGTTTCATCTTCTGCATATTAATATGGAAATCATCTCAAGTAAAAAAAATCTGTTACAACTTCACACAGTGCTCAGCACATCAGTGTTGTTCAGGATGAGAGCAGAAGAAACTGTGTCTTTAAATGTCATTGAAAAGCTGGAACATGACGAAAGAAAAAATCCCTTTTGTGCTTGAAAAATGACCACGACTTTCTAACTTTAGGTCTCTAAGATAGACCACGCCCCCCGTGATATGCATCAGGAGTTACCTGATGCACGACGCTGCCTGTGTTTATAACCTCTGCAGCTCTCCTTAATCAAGTATCTCCTTGATCTGTTCGTTTGCCGTTGACAGCTGGAAGAGAAAAAACAGCGTCCGTCGTAAACACGTCACCGCTGTTCTTTACTTCCTTCTTCCTCCACGGCACTGATGACTTCATAATTCACAGAGGCTGGGTGACGACAAAAAAACGTAGGGCAGAGCAGACACTGACGATCTCAATACTCAGACTTCCTTTTTCCAACAAGTTCATCCTGGTAAAAAAACAAAAAAACAACACAACCCATGTACTCCAAAAGTGGGTTGTAAAACAGGAATCATTTACAACAATGAATTATAATTTACAAAAAAAAATGATTTTACAATAATTTCTGCATATGTGTTATGGCTAATTTGTGGGCCTTAATTTTTCTCGAGACAAAGCTTAATGAGAGTGAAGAGTAAAGTGAAAGTCCTCATCTCATTTGTTGATTTTATTTTCTCCGTCTTTGGTGAATGTTGGTGTAATTTGGCTAAAAAAAAAAATGATGTAAAAATATTTCAAACCTCCAGCTCTGTAATGATAAGGGCTGTTTGGTAAAAGTCATTAAATCATCTTTCTGTAAAGCAGAACGTATATACATATATATACTTCATATATAAAGGCTTAAGCCGCAGATAAAGTATCGTGAGTATTTGGGTCAGCCTGTCCGAATGCACGGCACGTGGTCAATTCTGCTGCTGCAGTGTTTTAGCCGTCAACTGTGAAGACAGCATCGATGAAGTCGGGAAGTAGCAGACATGTGTTTTCCTTTGGTGCGTGCACGTGCGCATTTACATAAGTGTCAGCAAACACACCACAGACTGAGAGGCTGGTCCAGGGCTGTCGAACATTGTCCCCGCCAAAAGCTGGAAGGTCTGTTGGTGACTAATGGCTCGTGATTGTCACATTCATCTCTGCCAGAACTGAAACTTGCTACAAAAAAACAGCTTGGAATAATAACTCCTCTGGGCATTTGGTATAGTGCATGTAGAATACAACTGCAGTTATTAAGAGCCTTTAAAGAGATTCTAATGATATTTTGCTCGTACATTTAAAATATAACCAATAATCTGATTAGCCTCTTAGCATTTTCATGTGGAAAGAATGTGGCACAAATGGGAGAAAATGGTCGTTTCTTTTAAAATTTTTAATGAAACGTAGTTTCATTAAAAACATTTGCCCAGAACTCCTGAACCCCATGAAGCTCGTTCAGTTATTTTCCTTCGCTTCACACTGCAACCACAGCCAGCGTTGTGATTGCTCAGTCTTTTAGTCCTACTTTTGGATATACCCAGGTGACACAGATTTGCCAACCGGGACTGCAGTTTCCCCTTAACCCAAATAAGAAACACAGATGTTCTCAATGGACTCGGAGCAGGAGAATGAATGTGTACCTTTGGTACTTTTTAAAAAAAATATCAGATGGTAAATAGTACTTTTGAAATAACAGAATTAGATGTAGGTTTAATTAGCTTCTGTTAGCTCATTAGCCCGGCATGGACAACACCCACCTCTGTCACCTTGTACAGTCATGGTATAAAACAGTCAGACGGTCCCTTGTATTTGAAAAGTATTTGAATGGTGACATTTAAAGAACTAGTGTTTCTAATGTTTTAACTAGAGTCCTTCATTTCAACATAAAGTATTTGAATGGTGAAATTTAAAGAACTAGTGTTTCTAATGTTTCCAGTGATTGTGTTTGTGATTTATTCACCTCTTAACCTCCTAACCCAAACACTAACACAGGCATTAAAGGTTTCTCCACAAAACTTGAAGATCAATTGCACTCTTCAGTCGTCCCTGAGAGACAAACGTCTTCTTGTGACTGAATTATTAACATCCCATCTCTTCTCCCCAATGTAATTAACCCACACTTGTTGGGTCCATGTCCTGCTTTTAATAATGTGGGACACACAACAGAGGTATTCTCTGTCTCTCCGCTCCAGTGGGCAGCTCCTCATATCAGTGAGTCTTTGTCTCGTGAACCACGTGTGATGTTCAGCTGCCATTCTCAGTCACAGTCTTATTACAGACCCCCTCTCTCAAGCATCCTTGTCGAAGGAACAGCGAGGTGCTGGTGATGAAGGCGATACTTACTCTGATCCATGTCAAGATGTCAGGACACTGTGACAGAGGAAGAGAATATCATTACTTTAAATATAGAAACGGTGATCAGGAGAGCAGAAGGAAACAGGTCTAAATGCCTCCGTGCAAACCACCTGCTTTACTTAAAGAAAACCTGTTGTAAAAGCATCTTTGTTGTGGAACATCTGGGTCAGTGTGATTATCTGATCTTGGGGGTTTTTTTCACTCTAGTTGGAAATGTTCCATGTTCATGTATTTGTTAGCGAATAATGGACTGTAGAAATGGCGCCATGTTGCAAACTATGGCTGAGAATTCTGCCGCAGCAGAAATGAACCAGAAGACAGTCCACTTAGAACGAAAAGAACAAGGTGACGTCAGTTTTAATGGGGAGTGAACTACAGTGCGTTGAGATCCAGCACCCAGTCTGGTTTTGGAATTTTTGTGCACGACAATAGTAAATAATTAACCTGGTTTAAACGTGTTCCTTTGACTGGATTAGTCAGAAAACGATTTTTTATTTACAAACAATTTATTATTGAAGAACAATTCAATACACCAGGTTTCAGCAGATGGCTATATAAACCAGAAAGGAAATAGCTGTTAAAGACGATAATGGTGTGTCTTTCTTCAATTCCTGTGAGTATATACTGTAAGTGTTGCTTTGAGTAAGTTTAAGTGAGTAAATTGAAAGTAAAAGACAAATACATTTTATTTGTTCTAATAAATATGAGCCCAAAAAAGGTTGGGAAACACTGATAAAAGGCCTCATGCAGGACCTTTGAATGTTATTGGTGATATTCATGAAAAACAAAAACTGTCTTGTATCACAATGTCCCTCAATGTCCTGCTGCAGAAAAAAAAAAAAACTCAGAACACCAACCCTGGTCTGATTTGTGCGTGTGTGTATGTCTCTCTCTCCCTCCCTCTCTCTCCGTTTTTGTGTGTCCTGTGTGTTGCGTGCATGCTTGAGTGCGGATGCTTGTTCCCTCCTTCTCCCCACCACCAGCTCAAGTTTGACAGCGATGGAGTGTGTGTTTGCTGTGAGCTGCAGCACCAGAGTTCAGGCTGCAACAACCTGGGGGAGGCGCTAAAACTGAACCCGCTGAGGGACTGCAACACAATACGCCTGCGTCTCAAGGTCAGAACCAACACGCGTTTATAAATGTTGGCCAAACAAAGCCAAATGACTTCACGGGGGGTGGGGGGGGGATTTCAATAGGGCTGGTGATTTACTCCATCTCTGCTGTCTGCAGTCGTAGTGACTGTTTGTGTATTCGTGTTAGTGACACTGCAGATTGCTGAGACTATTTTGACTCACAATAACAGATTATCCAAAACCCTGCCTTGAGCATGCAGCGTTCTCGCCCACTAACCTGCTGTTATTGACGACTAAGTTTTCCTGCCTGTCCTCAAATGTTTGATGTTCTTCATGGAACATGATGTTAATGTGGTGGAATTATTTTCCCATTTGGGCAAAAATACAAGACCTTGCATCACATTTTCTCGTTTTTTTTATATATATATCTGTGAATTGCTGCCGACATGTTCAATGTCGTCTGCCAGGCAAAACTTTAACATTTAAAATATAACAATGAAGAAGAACTGAATTTACATTTTGAAACCATAATATCACCCATCAAAAGTTATAATATTTTCTAAGTAAAGCAGTTCTAGTCTTTTCTTGAAATTCCATGTGGACACTAACTTATACTTCCCAGTTCATTTTTACAGTGTAGTCAATGCCAAACAATTACAACATGAAATGAATACTTTTCCTTGCACGGAGACTCTTTTAAATGCACTGGCTTCAAGTTCACGATCACGTCAATCTTCAAAATGATATTAGGTCTTTGGCAGTTGACGTAGAGTATGCACTGCAGGCCTATTATGATAGAAACGATTAACGACAATCATGTCCATTTGTCTTCTGCCCCAGATTAATTATAAAATATTGATAACAGAATAAAAGACTTCTTAGGATGAAGAGTGTGTGAGAAGAGAGGAAAGATCAAATACATTTGTCACTGTGATCATAGCTCTGTAAAAAAAAAAAGAAAACTAGATAGGAAATGGTGCTATAAACCTTTATTAAGTGCCAAGGTAGTCAGAAGTGTTGATTTATGAAAGTTGTTATGCACAAGTCTTCAGTGTCCTTTCATCACATGACACAGATGCTATACATATTCCGAGGCGCTGATTTAGCACTCATCGCTCCCTACGTTAGTGCTAATGTGTGTCATTTGTCCTTTGTGTAGTATATTTAAGCTCCCTTTTCTTTTCTTTTATTGCCCGGGGCTGTAAATAATCAGCGAGAGGGTGAAGGAGACAAGTGGAGATTTCCTGTAAGGGGATGGATTTGCAACCTTGCTGTGAGACTGATTAATCAGGGCCAGGTTATCTGCTGGAGGTGAAATATCTCCGGAGCAGGCTTTTGAAACAGTTTCTTTGTAAGTGTTATTACATTTGCCTGCCAGGATTTATGATGTCATTATGTACATTGAGATCACAGGGGAAATCATGGAATTGCACCCTTTCACATCTGCACGGCAGTGATTTTACCATGTGAAAGCTCAGCTCAAATGATGCTACAGAGAAGCCTGATGTTTTGTGCAGTGTCTGTGAGAAGCAGCTGGGCTTTTAGCCATATTGTTGTTTTAGAAAAACCATTTCCTGTGACACATTAAAGAAACAGTTTGACGATGGACTGGTTGATGTTTACAGCTGTGAACCATATAAAATTATCCATAAAATACAGTACATTCTAGCAACAAACATATTTGAGCTAGCTCTCCCATGTGGTGTTATGACTCTTACTGCCATCAGACTAGATTATCTATTTCATATTTCACAAGAATCAGTCGTTGGATGTAGAAATAGACCTGAACGAACACCATTTAGGAATTTCGTTAAAAGCAGTGGCAGTCACTGTTGTTTGACACCAACAGTGAATCCAACCTAAAAATAAAAAATCCAGGGATGGCTGTGACGGCTGTGCTTTCAGAGAGCAGCTACCGGAACCATGTGTATTATTTGTGTCCCAGTGTGAAAGTCACGCTTCCAGCTTCAGATGTGAAAAGTCAGTACAGCCATTTAGGCTGTGAATCTATAGTTACCATTCCTGTATTTATTACAGATAATACAGAGAGAACGGTGAAGATCTTGTTGTTGTGGTCAAGTTCAGGCAATGGAAAATGTTGAATTTTAGGAATTAGGTGTGTTAATTTGTTTAATGATTTAGATTTAGGGCATGGCCTCCAAACTCCTGGCTTCTATCTATCTATCCATCCATCCATCCATCCATCCATCAACCCCATCTCCATCAGTCCCTGACAGTAGGCAGCTTCCTTGTATAAACGTGAGAGAGAGTCAGGAGCTTCACCTAGTGGCTCACATTTACAAATAATAAGAAGTCAATCTATGAATTGGAACAAAACGTATTAGAACGGACTTTGATGAACAGATAATGTTACTGAGACTGTCAGTGCAGCTGGCTCTGTCCCTGTGCATATACAGGAGCTGCCAAGGATCCTCATAACAGGCTGGAGGATGGACTGGATTTGGACATTTGGTAAAATGATCTTGGAAGTTTTCCAAACTGTCCTCAAAACATATTTCCCAGGGCGATACAGGGGACAAGGATCCTCCTGAAAAACATTTCTCTTCGTAGCCAGTGCTGCCGTGTGTAATCATGTTAATTAAATGTTTTCTCAAACAGAGTGCAAGGGTCTCAATGAGTTAAATAGTTACTTGATTTTGCACTTAAATTATCGATAATAAATAGAGTTTGTACATCAGCGAGCCTTTTCTGGTTCTTTTACACATTAGTAAGTGTCTTATCAGAGGAATCACCAAGGAGAGTTAGTACTGAGCTGATCCCGCCTCTCCCCCAACCACTTGTTACTCTGTCTTTAGATTTCAAGCAGCTGGGATCTGTTGTTTTAAACCTACTGCCACCTCCTGGGCTTTTTTATTACTGACCCAAGAAATGTCCAAAGAATTTGCAGCATATTTCACTGTGTGCTAAATCTTTCATCATCTAAAAATGTATGGTATATTCTTTGGTCTCTGTAAACTACATTTTGTACATCAACAAATACTGTAAATATCTCTCGTGTATTTATACCATATTATATGAAAATTAGAGAAAACGATCCGAACGATATTTAAACGCAGTTCTTTACTGCATTTGGAGCTCGTGTGATATTTATACACAATGATTATCCAACTTGGAACATGTTCCAAAAAGGCCTCCATCCAAACCAAACATGGATTAGTCTTACTCCTGTAGTCGACTCTGCTCAGCTCTGCTTTAATCCAAACTGCTTCAAACTGGCTTCGTTAACGTTCTGCTCACGAACATGTGGTGTTTGATAGTAACTGAAAATCAAACATGTTCAAGAAACAGCATTTGCAGGTCTAGTCTGGCCAGGATAAATAAATAATAATAAGGGGATTTGAAGGGAATCAGAGTGTGTAATGTGAATGGGTTGGAAACAGATTTCTGAGGTCAAGGTATTTACACTTAGAAAAACAGTCTTACTCTGCACTCATCTCTCCAAAATATACAGTGTTGAGGTGAGTCTTAATCTGTGAATGAGTCAAGTTCGTCAGAGACCAATAATACTAACAAAGTTTTGATCTTTGAAGTTTTGGTGCCGCTATCATCCATGTTTCAGTTCTCTATTATCAAACACATCTGCTCAGAGTCTTACTTAGTTAAATAGTAAAAGTCCTGGTAATAATCTAATCAGGGTTAATGTGGTCGTAGATATTTTTTTTCTGATTTCTAATTTGATCAGGTTTTAATAAATGCACCACTTAATTTCCACAGTTTTCTATTCAGGGAGAATTCAGAACGATGTCAGTGAACTGCAGGGCCGATGTCTTTGTTCAGACTCAGCTAGTATTTCACCAGCACCACGATTTATCTTTGCTGACAGTTCCAAAACTGCTTTGTCCCTGAGCCTGCATCTCACTGCAGAGTCCAAATGTTTATACTAGTGCTTAGCCTTAACTGTTCTCAGAGTTATTTCCCCTGTAATTACGTTTATTTGCCTTATATAAACCACAAACTGAGTCACGTTTATTGGTGCCAGTGCTTTGACCTTTTTAACATATGATTTAAGTTCTCACAGTGAAGTTGGCTTGTGTTTTCTTACTGAACTCTCATGGTTTTCTATTATTGAGATCTGCTGCATTAACTCTTCTTTTCTATATCACTTTGGTTTATACTATAAGAAACAAACAACATAACAGAAGATGCTAATTATAAAGTACAATAGTTATAATCAAAGTTTGAGTTCATTTAAATCTTCAAATGTTCATTCAAATCTTCAAATTCTTTTATTTCATTTTATTTTTTCAGATCTCCAGTAAAAAATATCTGTAATCTATTCCTTTATTATTATTATTATTATTGTTATTTTATGAATTTACACCTTGTTGAAAAAATTAGCATTAGCATGAATCACACATCGAATTTACACCTTGTTGAAAAAACTTACAAATTAGCATGAATCACACATCTGACTAATATTAAAAAAATATATCAACAGTTTTGTACCTATGGGGAGTCATGCTTGTGCTCAGACATTTCGTTTTTTTATATTAAATATCAGAATTTAAGGAAGAACAAACTCAGGGCATTTTTCATCTTTGACCCGTCTGTTGGTTGAAGCCTCTGTATCTGAACATTCCCTGTATTAAATTCCCTCTCCTCCTGGACTCTTTTGTCATCTGCTCACACACACACTCTCTCATTTCTAACACTATTGTCTCCCCACCTTTGTTAACTCTTCCTCTCCTGCTCTTCTTCAGGAGCTGCTGTTCACCGTATGTGCTCTGAACGTTATCTCCACCATTGTGTGCGCCCTGGCCACAGCCATGTGCTGTATGCAGATGGTGTCAACTGATGTTCTGCAGATGGTGAGTGTGATGGAAATGACAATGCCAGCGATCGACGCCAGGGCGTCTGGTCCTAATTTCTTGACTTCCATATACATAATCATGCAGAGTGTATACACCCACGCTACATGGGATTAACAAAGCTGCAGCAAACACATTATGGCTATGGTGGCGACTCACCTAATAATTTTAGTATGATTTATCCTTTTGTACTACTACAACTACTACTACTACTACTACTATTACTACTACTACTACTACTACTACTACTTATTACTGATTGCAGCAGTTTCCCTTTTACAAAAAAAAAAAGTTTTTATGAGAAAGGTTCCAGGAAAGTTTTAGTGAGGTGAGGAAAAGTGCATCTAAACTACTGCTGAGTTGCTTCTCAACAACTTTTTTTAAAGAGCTCCTGCAGTGATGGCTGTGTAACACGGCATGGAATAAATACATAGATGCTTAGTGGCAACATTACGTTTTCCGTTGCAGAACTTCTGCCTTTTCAAGCCCAGAAATGTCATATCTAGTTTTTAGAAAAAAATGTAATTTCATAGTTTTATTTTGTGTGTATGTGGATTTAATATATGCTGCTCACAATCAGACAATGTTTTCTTTCAGTTTATGCCCCACAGAGCACGGGCACTAAATGCCGACTGCATGACTCCACATGGAACCATCCTCCACCAAACACTGGACTTTGATGAGTTTATTCCCCCCATACCACCCCCACCCTACTACCCACCGGAGTACACCTGCACCCCCTCAATGGACGGGCAGAGGTGAGATGCACGCTGATACTTTATTACATCCTTTATTCTTCAGTGTTCCCTCATCTCCAAATGTATCATCAGGACTCTGTGAGTGGTCCGCCATTACACGATAAAAACTGTAATTTACATGTTTCCTAATGATCGCAGCAACATGACGGCGCAATTATACACAGTGGAGTACTTGTGAATCTAAACTCTTTTTAAAATCCATGCATTCATTGCCTCTCGTTGTAAATACTTCATTAGCTCGGTCTGTATGTTGGCTACACATGTTATCAATGTGTTGACATTGTAGAAAGATGTTGTTGCTGCTGCGTGTAACAACACAGTTTAACCTCAGCTGGCTTCACCGTCTGCAGTGGAAATCAACAAATGGATTAAATATAATTTGTCACACCATTAAATTCCAGCATTAAAGTGCAGTCTGGCCCTGTTGTTGTTTAATTACGTGTTAATTAGGTGCTAATTATTTTGCAAAGACTAATCTGATTAAAATCTTTGAAGCATTTTAATGCATGGGCAGAATGACAAGCACTCCGTGTACAATAATTGCACCTTTCATTCACTCATCAATGCTGTAATACATTGTTAAAATCCCCGTTGTTTTATCCACATTCACTACAGGATCTGTAAATACCAACACATCCAGCTGAGGCTACGAGTCTGGGTCAGACCAGCCTCACAGAGCGCACGACAGTAAATAAGTCTGCAGCTGACACACTGACTGACGTGAAGGACTGGGCGCTGATTAATGTTGTTGAGGACATCGCCCTCAGTTTGGCTGCAACTCTCGACACAGTCTATAATCCACCGTTACAATAAAAACAGTAGTAGACTAAAATATTTTTGGTAGGATTCGAAATATATATTTTATATATTTGTATATACTATACCAAAAAATATTTTTGGTAGGATTCGAAATATACTTTTGCATAATTTTCAGACACATCTAATTTAATTGATTAATTAATAATAATAATGAATAATTTCAACTACATTGATCCCTTATTTGGGAAATTCTTGTGTAAGCAGCTGATATGCCGTTGACAGGCTGCCCCTAGCAGGTGCCAAGCATGTGGTTCCTCTGGGAATCGAACCCAGGACTCTCTGCTCTCGAGGCCGACGTGCTAACCGCTACATATGGAACCACCAATACTGCTGTTATTAGTGTTTTACCTTCAAAAAACATGATAACCAATCATGATTCATCCACAGCTGTGAATAATTAATTAATTAATTAATTTAATTCTTCTAATTGATTGACAGCTCCAGCAATTATAGTAAATAATAAGTAAAAACTATAAGGTGATTGTAACTAGGAAACTCCTACATTGTACTATATAATGGGACTGAACTGTGATGCAGACTATTGTACATAACACAGTATGGCCAAACTCACTGCAGTACAGAACCAGGGTTCTTTAAAAAATAGACTTCTGTAAACCCAGCATTTTATGGGCCTGAACACCAGCTGTTGGTTCTTGTTTGGAGAGGAACTGCAGAAACGTTTAGATGTAAATAAGCCTCAATGTTTTATTTAAAGTGAAACATCTGCAGAAAAGTTGCAGAAAAGAACGGCTGAGGTGATTGGAAATACTGTTTCCTAGAGAGGCACTATTGCACAGCGCAGCCTTCAGTTCTAATTGGTTTACGTTAATATGGACTCCATCCATTTGTGCTTCATCATCTATTTTCCCTAAATTGAAAATGACCTGAAAACAACGATCCGGACAATGAATTTGAATTTAAAAAGAATTAGTGAGAATATATTCAGTGAAGAGTGATTTTTCTGTAAACAGCACTTCATACTGAGATGCTAATTTACACCAACACCTTAAAGCAATTTCTGAAAATAAACGAGCCATTTCTGGCCTCAGAGACAATGCCATAGGTTTTATCCTTAAACACACTTTACATTTGTTACTTGGTTACTGCTGTCAAATCATCTCAAAGCCTTCGCCCTCCTGTAGGTTGGTTTGTCAGAAGGTGTTACATTTTCGTCAACCTCCTCTTCCTCTTTCACTCCATCCATTTTCAGTCTGGACAGGGTGAGTGCTGGTGCTGATGCAGACATTTGGCGGCAAGCCACATCAGTTTGTCAATTATGCCATAAATATAAACAAGGCGATGCGGTGACGGTGTCCCTGTCCAGGGCCAGGGAGGTGTCATGACATCATCATGGCTCGGATGATTGGTGGAGACTCTCAGGTGGTATTTCACGCTGACGTCTTTGAGAGAGAATAGGAATGTAATTAAAAGATAAAGGTGTGAACAAAACAAGTGTGTCGATGGATTTTCACTTGGCAGCATGTGAAACTGTGTCAGTGCAGGATGAACATATATTACTACCACTCTGTATCATCTGAGCTATAAAAAGAAAATGTCACTGTAAGTCCTCTGCTGGTTATGGTCCGATACACTCATTATTATTATTTTATTATTAAGATTAGATTAATAACACTGATCACCAGATAATAGATTGTTCTTTCAAGTATTGTTTTCACTTATATTACTTCATTAATATTACATGTATTTTCCTTGATTATGTTTCTACCAATGTTTTTACCAGAGACAAAATCTTGACTATAAAATGCCAAAATTTTAATTTGTCTCCAGCAGAGGCCTTCACCTGGATTTTCCTCATTCACCCTTCAGTGCCATCTATGGTGTGCCCATAAACAGCCCAGGAACCCTGTACCCCACTGACCTGCCACCTCCGTATGAGTCTGTGGTAGGACAGACGCCTGCCAGTCAGGTGAGGACACAGATGTCCAGGACACAGCTTTCAATGGAAATATCATGAATTTCTTTTTCTTTTTTAAATTACAGTAAATCAATATACAGTATGTCTTGATGTTTTTAATTGATGTTTTTTAAAAAAAACATTTTTTTCAATATTACTCCCCTAGAAGTAAAACATTTTAAAATCTGAAATATATAAAAAGCTTAAACAGGATGCAAACTTTAGGCTCAAAACCAAGATTCCAGAATTATGTTGCAACAGTACAATGAAAATCTTAATTGTTCTCCTTTTAAAACTAACAACATAGATATATGTAATCTTATATTTTTATATTTTTAACTTGAAGCTTTTATTATAATTTTTCAATTTTCTTGTTGAATCCAGTCAAAAAACAATTTAAAGTCTGCAAGAGGTTTGATTGGTTCTCTGTAATAGACTGCAATGTAATGTCTTCATTAGTGCTTCATGGTTTTATGGCGCCCTCTACAGACAGTAGTTGTGAGCACCGTAACGGATGAAAGAAACACCCCTTATAATCTTTTCTCTTACCACCTGAACCTCCCTAAATGCCCCAAGCACAGGATTTTTTTCTGCATGGTGTTTTTGAGTAGAATTATATGAACAATTCATCAAATAGAAACACTGTGTTACATCAAGTACAGTTTCCCCTTTACTTGAACAGCATGAGGAACAACAAAACCAACAGTCATCTAAAGAATTCACCTCTGTTCTTCACAGGTCACTACCAGTATTGAGCAGCAGGCCACTGAATCCAGCTTGTGTGAGAGGAACACGACTACAGGTCTCAGCACTCAGGGTAAAGTCAACTGGCAGGAGCCTGTGTGGTTCTCTGCCTGGAGTCATGCTGTTGATTCTTTGTTGTGTTTTTTTCCTTCAGCATCAGTGGACAGTGCATCACTAATGGTGTCAGAGGTGGCAGATCCAGATCAGACCTGCTCCTCTGAGGACTTGTGCTCCCTGGAGGTGCAGGGTTCTGACTCCTCTCCTTATGGCACTCTGCACACTGCCCCCACTGACGGAAGCTGCACCAGCCTGGAACTTTGTACACGTGACCCGTCACGTTGCCATCGTGGAGTGATTCACATCGATGTTCGCCCTAGCGACACGGGCTACAGTGAGTCATCGCAGACTCAAGAGTCTCTGGAACGCTCTCCAGACTGGTCGTCAGAGAACTATAGTAATCTGGACCAGGAGGACTCTGCAGACAACAGCCACCCATGCGAGGAACTGAGTGCTGCAGTGCACATATGTGATGAGCTGGCTTCAGCCAAACATTTGCCAGAAGAACCACCTAAACCTTCACCACACTCCCTGATTAAAGCTCGAATGATGAGCCGAAAGCTCATGCTCCCCGTCACGGTCCCTCCACCACCTCAGCCTTGTTCCCCGACCTCAGTTGCCTCCTCTGGTGGAACTTCTGCAAACAGCCCCGTGGCTCCATCCCCTTCCCCTCCCAACAGACCCCGGGGCCCAAGGCTGTGTTTCAGTGTTTGGTCACCTTCTTCATCATCACAAACCCCTTCTACCTCAGCCCAGAGGGGCAACTCGCCTGCAGAGAGGCCTCGGGTGCTTAGGAGCACCAGCAAGTACCGAAGGCTGGCACGAATTGTCCGCTCCACCAGTGACCCTATATCCTGCTTTTCAGCGACAGGAAGTAAGTGTGACATACATGCCAATAATTCACCTTTAAAAAAAGTAAATCACTGCTTGATTTCCTCTGTTTTCATGAATAGTGAAGGTAAGTTTTATCGAAGGAGCACATGGCAGTGTTTATCATTATACTTAAAATCTAAAAAAATAAATAATTTCTTATTGTATTCTAAAGAATGGTTTTACTTAACGGGGCTGCGGTTTTTGCACTTACACTGCAGCCGCCTAACATTATGTTTTATGTGTATTTGAAGTCCACATTAATAGCCTTATATATATAATGTATTAAGCAGTAGAATCCTACCATTGAGGCACACTGAAAGTTTTTTTTTTTTTTTCCGTTTGGCATCTCACCCTTGCCTGAAAACATAATTCCAGGTTTCCAAACTTCTTTTTAATTAGCCCTTCCTGTAAAACCCAGGTAAACAGTACATTTAGATTCTAAAAACTAGCAGACATGGCCAGCAGTACATTTGGCTAAAAAGGCTTAATCTTCTCTGTGGCATTTATTTGGAATCATTTGCAGAATCCAATCAAACTGTAGCATCGCGTTTAATTTAATTTTGTTTCCAAACATTGGCAAGTCTGCAGTCACTGAATAAATGTAAGAATGCAGATGTCACAACTAATTAATTGTAGGGGTGTTTCTTTTCTTTTTTTCTTTTTCTTTTTTTGCATTTGTCTTACAACACCAAGCAATCTGGCAAGGGTGTTGGGGTTTTTTGTTGTTGTTGTTGTTTGTTTTTTTTAAAGAAATATCAAGTATTTCTCTATCATTTAAAAACCAGACATAAACAAAACTGAAATAAAAAAAAACAGAAGGGTTTGTAGAAAGTCATCTATCATCGCTGGCTTTCAACACCAAAAAGTTAGACTGTTCCAGCTAGGAGAAACACTTTCAAGCAGCTTTTTGGTCCTGACTGGGTTTTTGTCTCCCTCTATAGGAGAAAATAGTTTATGTGCCTCTGCCAACAATCCCACTGCTGAAGCTTCAGCTCACTCTTCAATAGACCAAGGTATGAACATCCTCATCCTTGTTACAACGTAATAAATGAATACAACAAATATTCATTTACATTTGTAAGTTTTAAGTTGAAGTTATCCGTATGCTTTAACTGCATAACGATAAAGAAGAAGGTCATGTGTTTTAATGTTTGCCACATTTCCTCTCCTTTTTTTCTAGACTCAAGAGAAAGCACCACAGAGGGGGTTGGAGCTAAGCTCAGCCACACATTTATCCGAAGGCAGCCGAAGGATGAGAGAAAAATCGACTTTTTCCTTAAACCTCGATCCCAGCACACAAACTCATCCAGTGAACGCCCACACTCGCTGGCTGACCTGAAGATGTACAAAGACACCAAAATATTGGTGGCCAAGTTCCTGGAGCATTCCAACTGCAATCTACCTCCTGAGGTCCAGCAGGTTGTCAATAATATCAAGTGTGTCATCAAGTCGGATGAGAAACACATGGAGGAGGCTATCTTCAGTGCAAATGTCATAGATCAGGTAAATGAATTAGACAGAGGGCCCAGTATCCATCCAGCCATCTGGACTGGATGAATTTCAACCAGCAACAAACGCTATATAACCTAATCCATTGGTTCCCAAAGACTGGGTCGCGACCCTCAGGTGGGTCGCAAGAGATTTTTTGGGGGGGTCGTCTCGCACCATGTTTCCCAGGAGTGTACGAATAATGTCTATTGACTTGGGTCGTGAAGGTTTGTGACTTTTAAAATATGGGTTCCCAGTTTTTTGTTGTTTTTGTATTGTGCTTTTCTTTTCTTTGTTGTTTTTGTATTGTGCTTTTCTTTTAGGAAGGGGCTTCTTTTAAAAATGTATACTGAGGGTCCTTTGTTTTCATCGTCCTCAACCTATTGCGCTTCATGGTTATTTTGCCTTCGCACCAACAAACCACAACAAACAAACAACGTTGTTCGTTTTAAAGAGTTTATTGATTAGTAAGTATGATTGAAAGTTGTTATCGAAGCTTTAATGACGCTCCAGGGCGCAGGTCTTACAGAGAGCAACACAAGCACTTGTCTGTACGAGAGCGCTAGTTGCAAGCTAGTGCAAGTTACATTTATAGTGCGCTGGATACATTTTTTGTGTGCATATAAGAATATGAGTGGAGGCCAGTTGAGCTCAGTACCATCGCCGCCTGTGAGATTATCTGGCCAACAGTAACTTAGAAACAGGGAGTATGTCCGTGCATTTGCCAAGGTCTTACAGGAACTGATGGAAAGATAATGAGTAGTATCTCCCATCACTGGCAAGCACACATAAGGTCAGACAGGTCGTTACAGTGTTTTTCCACTGACTTTCAGTATAAGTCAAGTAGTGGATAATAGCACAGAATATACGTTTGTCAAAACAGGCTGAATGTGTGTGCTTGACATGTGATAGTTTGGTTCTAGCACATATGGCATGAGATAGTCACCAGTGTGCTATGATAAGATCCAGCCCATATAGCAATATTGTTCTGGTCCAATGATTGGCCATAAATGATCATTTCACTTTCATTTTGAATTGGCATAAGGGAAGCCAAAAATGCTGTGTCACTGCAGGAAGTCTCCTGCACCAGCATGCTGTTCTACCACAACTGACACATCTTAAAATGTATTTCACATTTAATTTGACATTTTCACAATGAAAACTGTTAACTTTTTCAAGAAGCTTGGTAACGTGTAAAAACGTTAATGACTTGTGTCTGTGTCTCTCTTGGCAATCTTGTGCTCTACAGATGATGACACAGCAAATCACAGGCAGCCCAAGAAAGCGAGACTGTGACGATCTCCATCTCCAGAGCTGCGGGGCTTTAAGTTACTCTCCTTCCTCTTCTATGTGCCGTCCCAAACACCACCAACAGACAACCAGCTCCTCCATCAAACTGGTGGAATCCCCCTCATCTGAACACAGCCTTGACTGCAGAGAAACTATTCTCTGACTACGTCTCTCATCAAATACTGGTCAAAACATAGTGCATTTTTAGGTGCTGGAGTTGCAGGAATGTTGAGCTGAGCAGCAGATGTTCTGCGGAGTAATTAACATCTCTTCAGACATTTGGAGATCATTGATTTGTACATTGTGGCTGCGGGAGAGGCAAAGGGAAATGCCCTTGTGTCGTCTCTTCTTGTGCCCTGTGAGACTTTGCCAAGTTATCAGCAGAAAAGGTAGCAAACTCAGACTGAACCTGCCAGTGTCTGTACAAACGTCTTTCTCATCATGAAAACAGATGAATGTTTCTCCCTCAGGGGATCTTTTCTACTGAATTCTATCCATTAAAAAATGTAAACAACTGGTAAATCTGACCCCGTGACTGAGAGACAATGGTAATTATTGATACTACAACTGTTTTAATACAGAGCTGAGGGCAAAATGTTTGTTTTTATCTGGGAACTAAGCTGACTGGTCATGACCAGCCACTGATTGCAAATTTTGTGGACATGTTTCTAAATGCGTGGTAAATATTTTGTGGTGTCACAAGTTAAAAAAAAAAAAACATCACAGATGTGGATTATTAAAAATACCTCATTGTGATTCTTATCAGTGTTCCAATAAAATATGAGTTTGTAATCTGTGGCTTTGGTTCTTCTTTAGTACATGATTGTCAATTAATTGCAGGCATTGCAGTAATTGTTTTGTCAAACAAATCTGAATCTTTTCTAGTGATCTTGCAGTTTAGTGACAGTGAGCCCTTTGCCTTTGTGATTTTGAGAATTACCCCAATATAGACAGCAACTGATTCAAGTCAAACCTTTGAGTGAGTTGTGTGATATTTAAAACCGTACACCATAAATACTATTTTAATATACAAAATACGAAAATACAATTTTTTTTAGAAAATAAAGCCAAGGATTGCAAAATAAAGCATCCTATTTTTAGCTGATGCCCAGTAGTACTTGATATGGTATTTTGACCACAATTATAGAGTCTAACCCATAGAATAGCTTTGTAACTACTGTTTCAGGCTGTGCTAGCAACATTTAAAAAAACAAACAAACAAACAAAACATGTTGGACCAATTTTCTCCCTCTATTTGCCAACTTCTTGAAGAAGAGCATAATATACATTTATAGTGGTTGGTGAGTGCTCTAGCCTTACATTACAAAGATAATTGCTTTGATTTGGTCAGACACTGATGGTCTTCCAGTATACTGTATATATTGCATGTTGTTCCTGTGCGATTCTATATCCAGGTACTTTGGTCTCCTCCCACTGTCAAATATGCAAGATATGGTTAATTTGACACATAAATTGACAGTTATACACAGGATTTAAATGTTGAAAGAAAACGTATCTGTAGAGACTGCCCAAACACTTATGTCAAGCCCTACAGGAAGTTGGAATCAATTTGACCGTTTTGCTGCTACCACTTTTATTTTGAAATGTTGCTGGTCTTTGTAGCGGAAATGGTGCGCTGTGGCTACTTCTAGATTAATTTAGCGCAGGAATCACGCTCGTTTTGCATGGTTGACCGATATTGTAATACAAGTCTCTAAATTTGGTTATTTTATTGAATGTATCAGGTTGTGTTTTGGTTTTATCCGTGTCCTGCAAATGGGTCTCTTGCAAATTGGATGGACGGCAGCTAAGGCGGTGTTTGTTCGCTAGCTTAATAAGAAGTGTTTAGCCGGACATCGTCAGGTTCGTGGAGCTAACATTAACATTAAGACTAGGTCTAAATCTTAAATAACACTGGTGTCGTTTTACGTACAGGGTCTATCGTCAGCGATTATATTAAATCCAGGGTTAAGTATTGGGGTCGGTGTTGTACAGGAAATCACCACGGGAAAATAAGAAGCTAATTTGTGCGGTTGTAGTGTTAGCAGTCTGATTTTTGTTCTGTATTCGTAGCCGTCGGTGCCACGGAGCCGCGCTGTGTCCACGTCTCACACTTTGCTGTGTTTAACGTTGCCAGCTGAGCGAGGCCACGTCCCTGCGGGCGTTTTCATCCACATACAGCAGCAACAATTTCTTGAGATGATGTCTTAATGTGCGGAAGAAGGAAGGAGAGCAAGGCTAAGTAGAAATGTGAAGCATTGGACGTCACTGTGTGCAGCTAGTGTTTGCATTTCGAAGCGCTTTTGCCGCATATACACGACATGTCACGTAGAAGGACCTGCTTTATATGTCACTGAGCTTTAGCGGTTGTAGCAGCCAACAACACAAAGTAACGTTATAGTTCATTTGGAGTTGAAATGATCGGGTTTAGCGCAAACCGACGAGGGGGGAGACTCCCGTCTTTCATCTTCATCTTCCTGATGGTGGTCATCGGTATACTGTCTTTTAATTACTGGACTGTGTCCAACAAGCAGCGGCGGCTGCTGGATGAACTGGTAGAGGTGCAGACGCAGGTGAAGCGCACGGACGCGGCGCGCAGCCGTCTGGAAAAGCGGAACTCGGAGCTGATGGTACAGGTGGACACGCACAAGAAGCAAATCAACCAGAAGGAAGGAGACTACAGCGTCCTAGAGGGGCGGCTGCAGGTCCAAGACGAGCTCATCAAAAAGTGCACTGATGACAAGGTACACGGGGTGTTTGACCCTCGCCTTGGTGTGGTGGAGTAATATAAAATGGGACCGAAACTGAATTTTCTGACCAAACTATAAAATGATCCCACATCCTGGGCTATTATATATTGTTTAATCACAGGTTTTTGGTGCTGGTACGTTTTCAGACAACATATGGTCTTGGATAAAGAAAAAAGGCGAAATAAAACCCATCTCAAGACTCCAATAGAGAGCCCTAGTCATTTCGACTGAAATTTGAATTTTAATATTCAAGGACTGTCACTTTTTGTAACTTTCATTTTTAAATTACCTAATATGGCCTTTTTATTTAAAACATAGTATGGTTGTCCTAACCTAAAATTATGATATTTTATGTATGCAGCAGATTTGAACAGATTTGAGTGATAATGCCCCAAATATTTTTAATATATTTTTCTACTAGTTTTAACAAGTCACTAATTATTAAAATTTCAATTCAAAGAATTATCCAGGTGAGTTTACTAACAGTAATTGCTGGAGATACTATATCTGGAAAGTGAGAATTTGATAAATTATTGAATGTAGATAAATTCAGTAAATACATTTTTCTTTACTTTAAGTGGTGTAAAGTGTGACTGCAGTCGTTGATACTTGTATCTGCAAGGGTGGTGGCATATTAAGTAAGTATAATTATGTAAGGACAACACAGTTAGTTGCTCAACAATGCTGAGTGGTAACTAAGTTCTCTGCAACTGTTACAAAGGTTTCATGTCCTTAACACTGTAACAAAAACATGAGCATTTACATAGTTTGAACATATGCATCACTTCACAATGCTGCAGTAGTGCTGTTAGCAGCAGGGTGGTTGCCTTGCTGCTAACAGCGGTTTTAGCTAATATTTATGATTTTTCTTTTAGATTAGCTGTGTTTACGTGGGGGGAAATATTCTGAAATAAAGTCTGTGTGCTTATTTTTAAAGCGAGTGCTCATTCACCAGAGGACTGCACAGAGGCACTGTGGCTGCACTGTTTATAAGAGTCATATCTTTTCAGTAAACAAAGGTCAAACTAAACAGACAAAGGAGGGGGAGCACAACATGAATAGTGGAGAGGCTGAACATTTGCGGCAATTGTTTACTACAAAACACAGGGATGTTTCTTCTGTTTGTGTTGGTTACAGAAAACTAGACAACTGTGAGCACGTCACAGGGTTGAGATGGTTTGGACATGTGCTGAGTAAAGATATTGGAGCTGGAGCTGGAGGTGGATGGTGTTGCAGTAGAAGAGTGAGGTGATAAGTTGCGATGCAGGCCTATTGTTTTTTGTTTTAATGGGCCAATATTAGCAAGTTCTGTCCAAAATAGACTCCAGGATGTAGTATCTGATTTTTTTTAGTAATTCTGACACTATGGTCGTGGCAACCCCTGAAAAAAGGGACAAAGCCGAAAGAAAAGAAGAAGAGACACTATGGTCCTATAGTTGTAACATTTCTTTAAAAAAGTAATACTTGTATTACCTCCTCGGTTGACAGCAGCAATAGAGAGAGATGTTTAGTAAACAAAGAAGACTCGGTCATGTGTTCACTGAGCTGTCAGTAGGTCCTGTATCCGGTTCCCTGTTCCTTTAATCAAATAAAAGATTGTTGTTGACCTGCAGTTATGCATTCCTTTCTATTGTCAGCAACCCAGCCTTATTTAAACACAGGCCTGAAGTACTAAAGAGTGATATATATGACTATAAAAGTTGATTTTCAAAGGCCTCCGGACAGTACAGTGTAGAGTTGTTTACAGCATTCATTCAAAATGTAGCATTCAAGTTTATAACACTTGCAAAGTACCAAATGCTAATGTTTATAACTTCGATCATAAAAGGTTTCCTTTATGTTTTTAATGCCGTGATCCTTAGTTTTACCCTCACTACAAAAGCTATATTGTACAGTAGTTTAGTTTTTTTTTTTTTTTTTTGATAGACAGGAAGAACAATCTTAAGACATAGAGACATAAAGACATAAAGACACAAAGCGATCTTATCAAAGTAAGCTGACATAGCTGCAGTAATGAACAGGGTGTGACCCGTTCATTACTGCAGCTATGTCAGGCGACAATCCAGCTGTGTTGTTGACATCTCTCAAACATCTTGGTGGGTTGGGTTAGTTTGCTAGTTTTTAGTTTTTGTAGTAATAGTCGCACTGAAGTTAGCTTAAGGGTGTAACCTGGACTTGATTGACAGTTATACTGTGTCCTTTATAGGGCTAAAATCTCCCAGTCGACTGGTCGATTTATTGGTTATGTTCTGGCTCAACTAAAATTCTGATTGGTCAATTTGTTGTTGTGTTAATTAAAAGCACCCCTGTTTCACAGGTAACAGTTTGTCTTCAGAATACCCCCCATTGTTTTCATTTTGGAGTAGCCCAACCCATGGACAGAGAGATTGAAGAACGTACCAGAAGGCCTAGGTCCAGTGGTTTGCTGAATATTTATTTAATTTTGAGCATTTCATTTACAGTCAGTCCTTCTCTACCATGTCAAAGATATTGACAGTATGGCAGCAATTCACAAAATAGAGAAAAAAGTCAAATGCAATGTTTGTAAGTTTTATTTTTTCAGTTATTTACTTTATTCCATGTCTGCGCTCAACCTGATCTGGTTTATTTAACAGTATATTAGGTTTTTCATCAATTATTGACATGACAAAAGCAATCGCCTAAATATTTCTAAAATTCTGTATGACAGACTCAAATGTGTAATTTAAATATAATAATAATAATATTAAGTGAATAGACTACTAATCTTCATATTTATTTATATTAAATTAGGTTTTATACAAACACAGGACGTGATGGTAATCTGTCTGTTGTGCCAATACATGGAAGTGACATGAGGTTTACTTTGATGTTGAGAGTGGCGTTGGAGCTGCAGTATATCTCACCCATTGGAATGGTGTGAATTTCACATCATTGATAGTGTAACTTTGAATCAGGGGGTGTTTCGGCCTTTCAACACTAGACACTCTAATCAAACGTGGCCAGCTACAGGGTGATAAAGCCTGGGCTTGTTTCCCAACTTAGTCAAATTTGATCAGCCAGTTTAACATAAAAGCAAAACTTCAGATTTAAATGTCAAGTTGAAGAAGGCGAAATAGATGAATCGTTATCTAATTGTCAAGAGCAAAATCTGATTGCATCAGTCATTTAGTGCGGTTTTATGAACTGGTCTAACCTGTGAACCGGGATCAAGTTTCACACCAGTGTGTGGATTTATGGGGCAGTATAGTATATTGTTATACTAATAACACACCTGGTACTATGAAAATACATGATGGGCCTTCAAGCTGTTGCAATCAAATGTGGTTTCTATTTGTTAATGTAAGGGATGTTTGCACTACTGTTAAACTTCCGGTGCTCTATTTCCTTTCAGATTTCTAAACCATGATTTTTCTTTCACTTCCTATAGATGAAAGTAGAAGGAGATGTCACAGCCCAAATGACGGAGATCCGGAGGCTGAAAGGTGCGACCATTGCTTTGTTTGCCCAGTAGAGGGCACTCTGACTCACTCGTAAAACTCAAAAGAGATGGATATGCACAGTAATGTTGTACTGTAGCACGGGCAATTAAATACAAAATGTCTATAAACAAATGTTTTTTGTCTCAAACAGAGCAGCTAAAGGACCTAAATCAGGAGTTAATCAAACAGGAGGAGCAGCTAAAAGAAGTGAAGAAAAATAGCACGACATTGGAAAGAAAACTGGAATATGAAAGGTATGTGACAACTGCCAGGTGTGGAGTGGAGTGAAACATCAGCATTAAATTGTGATGCAAAAGTCATTGGTTGCCTATTATTTTTTCTGTTGATTAACGCTACTTTACCATTCAGAAAACGTTTTTGTTTGCAAAAGTATGTTTTTGTCATGTTAAATTTGAATTACATAACAAACATGAGTTTCTTCTTCAGTTTATTCTGTGGACGTCAGATTGCACAGCTAAAAGACGAGTATGAGGAATCAAAAAAGAACCTGGAAGAAGAAGCTTCCAGACTAAGACAGGTCTCTATTCTCTATGTCTTACACTTTTTTAGAGCTTGTTTCTAGAGCTCCTTGTCCTTATCTATACGATTTGTTGAATTGCTGATGTGCAACATTTGTTGATTATTGTCATTCTGTGTTTTTTTTTAAATCACAGAATTAGAACAATAAATACTCCAAAAAGCATCAGCTACACTGTGCCATTTTTTTTTTCAGTTGTTGATAAAACTCTCCTCTGAAAGTTCTCACAGTTCTCACCATTGTTTTTGTTTTTTTCATCAGAGTGTGCTAAACAGTCAAAAGGATGTGATAGCCGTAAAACAAGGTCCAGCACTTGGTGTGGAAACAGGTAGAGACCACCATACTGTGGCCAATCATCAGCACAACAATGCAGATTTAAAAGGTAAAGTTGCAACTAAAAATTGCTCTGCTTATCTTGTCATGTTGCTTTGCAAGTAGAAGTTTAATTTACTATATAATTTGGAACAAATCCCACCTGTTTTTATTCTTTGCTTTGTGGTGGTTTCTGCCTGCGTTAGATACAAGTACTGCCATACAGATACAAAATGATGATTTTAGTCTGATTTTACCATTCAGTTGATTTCTTAATTTTTTAATCACGTGCCCTAATTTTTACTTATATTTACTTCCAGAAATTTTTACTAATTTTTAACTAATTTTTACTTATATTTACTTCCAGAAATCACTTGCATGTGTGGTTATTTCCTCATATAACTGTCTGAACTATCTTTTTTATCCATAGCTTGTTTATTGTTGTCTATTTAACCACAAAACATCCACTTTTAACTGTCCAGAAACATGTGCATCATGGTATTGAAATTAAAGTATTTTCAGTAAAAACAAATGTCTCTCCATATCAAGCAGTCCATTACCTCAGTTTTCTGTGCTCTCCTACAGATGACCTGGGGAAGCCTGGCAGTGATGCTGGCATGCCTGCTATTGAAGACAATGAGTTGGGAAAACCTGAGGATGTGCAATTCGGTAAGCAATGCAGGATTATTTGTAAAGTTTCACAAGCCTTGAAGACACGAAGACAAAAAACAACAAGCAATTATAATTATTAATAAAAAAAAATTAACACTGCAATATTGCCTTCTCAGCACTGAAGAAACCGGCGATCACTAAGAAACAAGAATATCCACTTGAAGCTGGATTAGGAGCAGGACTCGGGGCAGCTGATGGCCCTGCAGGCCACGGTCTGTCTCTGGACCAGCCCAAGCTGCAGCAGGACAGACTGGAGGTCCAAGCAGCGGTGGTTGTGCCTCCGAACGTCATCAAACAGCCAGACAAACCTATAGTGTTTGAAGAAGATAACAAGGCGGGAATCAAGGCAGATGAGCTGGGAGAACAGCAACGACAGATTCGAGGTACAGTATGAACAACATCCAGGCAGTTATTCATCTGGTTGGTAATGGATAAGAGGCACTGAAACATCACTGCACATCCATAGTTGTTCATTTCCTTATTGAAACACAGAAAAAATTGTGTATTTAAAGAAAGTTATTTTCATGGACAGTTGAATAGAATGTGAAAGTTTCTGATGGGCATTAGTTTTAGACTTGACAGCATCAATCTAGAAATACAGTATATGTTGTTTATATTTGTATTTAAATAAAAATGAATCAGTTTGGATGTAGCAGTTCTTTAACCTAACACTGATAAATGGCCAATACCAAATATATAATGCCTTGTCACATAACATTTTTATTCTTCGTCTGTGTATGATAATATATCAATTTTTGATGATGACTTTTTTTGAAAACTTCCAGCTCCAGATAATATCAAGGTTGATAATGACAATGTAGCAGGGATCGCTCCACCCCCCAACCCAGCTCAAGTGCCCAACCCCATCCAGCCTCACCCTAATAAAGACCAACTTGGAGGAGATCTTGTGCACCACCGCCAAAGTGAGTCCCTTCACACTTTGAAACTGGGAGATCTATAAATACTACCAGGGAAGGTTGGGTAAGAATGGGGGAAGTAATCACAACAATCCTAATATTTGTTTTGGTCAGTTGTTGTTGTTAGTTTCTCCCTCTTAGTTTTTTATTAATGTTTTATGAAGTGAGAAATTAGAACACAAGTTTGTGTTGTAAGTGTAAATTTGCTAGTTTCATGTGCCAGTACCTGGTCGGGTTTTACTAAGGCATCTGTTTGAATGCAGGTCATGTCTGAATACGAGTTCAAAGCGTAGAGAAAGAGGGAAAAAATGACACACACCTGGTTCCCAGATGATCTTTTTCTTGCTGCCTGGCTTCTATTGGGCTGTATTTTCTCCCTGTTTGCAAATGTTATTTCATCTCCTTAACACATTGCTGTAAATCTCTGCTATTCTGTTCTCTAAAAAAAAACCCTCTCACTGCATCAAGTTCCCATTCTTATTTTGTCCTTTTCATCTTCTGCTTGTGATCTGATTACACCTTATTCCATCCAATGTGATTAGACACTCATTACATGCTTCTTTTTGTCAATGTGGTGCTTTCCGGACAATAACAGTCAGAAGATGTCATTTAGTGCAGTGCATCGTAAAACTCATTTAGTGTCATTGATCACTTACAGTGATGTGTGTCCAGCTACTGCACTTAGTTGCCCAGTTGACAAATTATTACATACTAAATAATAATTTTGTAATAGTTTGGGGCGGTTACTGCTACACAACTCAACATTTTCCATGTTTTTATAAATTTTCTCATCATCCCAGTAACATATCCAAACAATTCTTGCCTTACTAGCCAACTGAGGAAATTTTTATTTGTAGCCTTATTAATCAGAAAAGAAATCTAAAGCATTAAAAATGAAATTAACTAGAACTGTATATTGTTAGCCTGTAATATATTAAAGAAAAACAATCAGATTAAACAAGCCTCTGTCACTACAATTATTCAAATTAGGCTTTTGTAAAAAATCTTTTCAAATGGGTGCCAACGAAAGATAAACATCTGATGTGATTGAATAAATAAGGTTATTGTATTCATGCCAGTCAATCAAAGACCTAAGAGGAGAATTGATTGGATTATACACCTGATTAATCACAAGAATAAAACTTTTTGTTTCTACTTGGCCTTTAGCTTTAAAGTCTGTGATTGATTCACTCTACTGCCAGACTTGGTTTCCACCTTACGTCTATCATTGTGTATCATTAATCTCATCTTCCCTTTCTGTTAACATTTTCCTTTGTACTGTACATTGATTATACAGTATTTCACCCATTCCTCCCTCTCCCCCCTTAAACTGCCTCCGCTTCCCTCCCTTCCTGATGAGGCCCTTCTCTGCCTCCTGCAGGCCGGTTCTTTGATGAGAACGAGTCCCCAGTAGATCCGCAACACGGCTCTAAGCTGGCGGACTACAATGGGGATGATGGGAACGTGGGTGAGTATGAGGCCGACAAGCAGGCTGAGCTGGCCTACAATGAGGAAGAGGATGGTGATGGTGGGGAGGAAGACGTTCAAGGTGAGCCAGGCTGGGGAACTGGACAGCCTGTTCAGATGTGTACCCTCCATTCCTCCCTTGCTCCTTCCCTCCACCCCTGTCCTGCTGCCATCCCTCCTGCATTTACTCTGACAGTTTGAGCAGCTCACATTTGGAGTTTCTTTAACTGTAGATTTTCAAGAATCATTGACATCATGGTTTCACACAGGACTGCTATGAAGTTCACAATTAATTATTGAACTGCACTCAGTGTGCATCTACTGTACTTTACCATTGTAAAGGCACAACAAATAATCATTTTCTGCTCTGTTAGTGTAATGTATCCCAAGAACTTCTGGTTCTGTGAGAAGAAGTCACTTGTCATCTCATATTTTCTCCTCCCTGCCTCTCTTAGCTGAACCACCTGTCTGTGCCCACAAAACATCTGACCCACATTTCCACCAGTAGCTAAATATACTGTATCTCACCTTGTCTGTGAATGTCTCCCAGATGTATTGGGATGCATGCCCATTTGTATTGTTGTGTTATGTTGCAATTCTGTGCGGTTTGTGAATATATGTTTAGAATATCACTCTTCAAACTGATTGATGAAAAAAGTATTATTCAGAAATGGTTCCATGTCTGTGTCAGTCATTGATTAAAGAAAAATAGTTAGGACAAATATACATATACCTATTTCTTATTTTATTTAGATTATTTATGATTATGGTGACTATTTAATTTAATATATTGTATTACTTTAAGTCTAATATTGTACCTTGTTTATTTGTTTTTTTTTCAGATGATGATGATCATGACATGCAGGGAGATCGGGCTGTGGATTATGGGAAAAGACATCAAGCCATTGACATTCTTTGAACTGGAACTCATTCAGCTGTAGAATCCTTTTAATATTACACAGACCTTTGTCTAAGACCAAGATCATTACAGATAAAGTAGATTGTCAAAATCTAAAGGCTGCATCCTCATAGCCATGAACTGATAAGACATAACATAATTAATCCAAGAACATTCAAAAGTTATGAAGAAAAACAAAAAACATGACATTGTCCGGAGATCCTCATGGTTCACCAGTGGTTTTGTGGCAGTAGATAATATATATATACTGTACATAGACTTTCGTTTTCGGTTGATAACTGCCTCACTTTGTAGCAGAGTGGTGTCAATGAGCCATTTTGTCTTACAATGGAACTCTATGGAAAACCGGTGTTCAGTTTTTGCCCTTTTCTTTACTGATTTGGTTACTAAATTTAAACAGATTGTTCACCACAAACATTTACCAGAGAGGTTAATTTGGTATCCTTTCTTTTTTTAATCACTTTTGGAATCTTGGACTACATTACAAATGCCAAGGACTCTTCTTATGGCCTGTATGTTTTATTTTTTTGTGATGTATATTCAAAACGCTTCTCACTTTTTTTTACAATGATGCCATTGCATGAAAGTCAAACATTTTCTGAATCAGATTAAGCAAAAATACAGATCCATAAGCAATACTTAAAATGATGTATCCTCCACAGTGTGCACAGCCTGACTGAGCACATGTGTAACTAACGTACTGTACACTTGCTTCCATTAATGAAGTCTCCTGTACATAATGTAGTTGAACTGTTGCCATTTGTACTGAGCAAAAAAAAAACAAAAGTGTTGCTTTTTAGGAAAATCGGTGAACATGAAGTCAGTTATGTCTGTGCTGCAGGTTAATGATCTTTGGCAGAAAGGCAGACTGAATGTAATTTAATTTTATTAAAGGTGATGCTCCATGTCATTTGTCAGGTGTGATTATGCTGCGCAGTGATAAAATATCATTAGAAGCAGAACACTTTTAATTTTTGAATTAAAAAGGGTGTAAGCTACAGTCAGCCAATAGCTTAATTAATGGTTTAATCCCTAGCAGTGGACACAAACCTGACACCAAATTAATTTCAACAGCAGAATATGTAAGCTCTTTAGTGAAAAGTAGAGCAAATGTGGAATAAGTAGTAAATAGAGGTTGGATGGTATGTGTTAAATTGAGGTCACAATTGCAATCAGCTTGTGCTACCAGTGGACGCTGTCTTGATACAAATTAAAGACAGAAACACCCCATACCTCCAAAATCACAAAAAAAATATGTAAATGTATTCACAATTAGATTAATATAAATTAACCATTAACAATGTATATAGTCTAATTTGTTCTTTTGACCTTTTTAATATCATGTTAAAAAACTCAGTCACATTCTTGCATATGCATAGAACACACAATAGACCATACGTTGTACAACATAAAAACGTCATACAATTAATTTATTGTATATATATATATATTAGTACATATGTGTATACCTCACATGCTAATTGCAAACTTTAACTTTTTTAATCTAAAAACATTTTAAAATCTAAATATTAGTAAAAACATTTTCTTTCACAAGACACTTTTTTGTATATTTAAATAGAACTGAGTCTGTGGCTGTGATCTCATAATGAAAAATGTTAGAGACAAAGACGTCGGGGAAATAAAACGGTAAGGGCTGTTATCTCAATTGCTGAATTGTGACGTTTGTGGTTAACGTACACTCAGTTCGTAATTTTTACAGGTTGGATTGGTGTCGATGGATTCCAAAACAAGAACTAGGAATTTTTTTTAACAGAAATTAATAAAATAAGGGTACAGTGCTCGTTCTCGATGTGTATTGCTGATTTCTGCTGGTGAGCGGTTAGGAGGGGGTGTGTCTGTGTCCCATACGGGTATCTGCCTCGGAGAGACCGAGCAGAGGCGGGAAATGGCGCCTGCTAACACAACGGTGTGTCATTTTAGAGACGGCCCTTGAGCAGAGAGGGAAAAGTCGGGATTGGATCAAGAAAACAACCGCTGCCTGAGTTATGATGGTTGGTCGGTGTTGAGCCTTTACCGTTCCAGACACCGCGGATCACTGTAAAGTAAGTAATTCATGTTAACCTTGGTCGTGCATCTGTTTCTCTTGGTTTGTGGTGTAGGTAATGTTGGCTAACGGCAGGGTAAATATTTTTCTTCGGCTTGTGCTCAACTGTGTAGCCCCGAGCAGTTAGTCTTTAATGCTACGTTAGCGATGCTAAGCTAAGTGTAGCTAAACATGGCCTATTTCCAGCAGACATAATTCGCGGTAAATTGATGCATCCGTGTTTTACATTTCACTTTACATTTCACTGTACACAATGTGGTGTATATTTTCGGGCCTTGTTGTGGTATTTTTGACAATTTGATCAACCCACCTTGGGCTAAAGTCGAATAGCTTGTACCGAGGCTAATAAGGGATCTGACATTCCTTAACTCAACTTTGCTCGTTTTAAATTAGCCACAAGTCTTCTAGTATTCTTTATTTGCCAGGTGTTTTCGGGTTGTAACTAAAACAGCCGGCGAATGTTGCTTATGAATTCTTTGATAGTGAATTATCACCAACTTTAACTGATAAACATTTTTCAGTGTTGCTGTTGACAGCGTAATGTCACAACACCACAAACCAAATAAATATGCTATTTGAATAGCCAGTTTAGTGAAAATAAGCTTTACTGGAAAAAATGTTTTTGTTTGTAATGAAGATTTAAAATCCGCGTTGCCGCAATGGTTCGCTAATGCTAAATTGGCTTGTTCGGTCTTACTGTAAAACAGCGCTTTTTTGTTGGATTGATATAAAAACCATCTTGTAAGGAAACACTGCGCCATCGACTTAGAGTGTAAAATCAACAATTTACCACACGTACAATTTAAGTTTTTCGTTAAATATCTTCTAAGGTTTAGTTTTTGCGGCAGCTCCTTGGTTAGCTTCATGGCTTTGGCCACTGGGTGCAACATAAACTAACCGTGGACTGTGGCTGGATGATTTAGACCGAATTAGTTACGTCATATGCTCAAATTATTGATCATTTTCTATTTTTTGGTACACGTAATGGCCATATATAAAGCACGGTTGTAAACATTACTCAGGCTGTTGTTATTTCGGAATGTATCATAGGTGGCAACGGCCTCACTGGTTCCTTCTCTGCATCTCCAAACAGCCTCCTACAGTCTCAGTGGCAGGCATGTTCTTATTTCCCGCTCAGTTGCTCATACATAGCTCTGTGCATGATGATTGCTTAGAATGGGATTACCTACAAATATAGATTGCAGCAAGCAGTCTTTGTTTACTCGCTATATTACAATTTGTAACACAAGTGCATGGGCCGATAAAGGTGACATAAAGATTAGAAAACATAGTTAATCACCTAAAAACCTATGAAAACACAAATTGTGATTGTAAAAAGGCTGTTTTAAAGTATATACAAATGTGTTTGAATATAATTAACAGTACTTTTAAGAGAATGTTCGGTTTACAATTTCCTTTAAATTCCATGTCAGATGTATGCGTCAAAGTCTACATCATGTAGGTAGAAAGTTGTCTGTATTGAAACTTTCCAAATTGACAAAAACAGAAGTTGATGTTTCAATAAAAATGGACAGAAACCGAAAACGCAACTATTGTTTAAAGCCTACACCCTACAAGTGAGCACTGATCAGATCACAGGGAAACAGGTTTTTGAGTAGTAAAGGAAACCACTACATTCCCTCATTCCCAAAAGAAATGGTCACAGCATTATTTTGGTAGGGATAATTAAATACTTATAGTCCATGTGTATTATTACTTGATGTTATATAATCATCTTTTATGGAGACAAGCTTTGGCTTAAATATGATTAAACGTGCATGCTGACATTGACATTAGAGTCTTAAAAGCTGCTTGCAGTATATTGTGGTTGTATTTTATTTATTTATTTGTAGCTGTTCACCAGCTTTCCATCTGAAGTATTGTGTGTACATCGCTGTTGTTCTTTGGATTCTAAACAGCTTGTACATAGCTTAAACACAAGTCGGTGACCTAAAACATTTCTGTACTGAAGAGTCACATATGCAGGAGTGAGTTACTAAATAAAAACATCAGTGATGTCAGTTATCTTTTTAATTGGTTGTTTTTGACTGTTTTGTGTGAATTCCCTCTTTTGTTCATTCCCTAAGCAGACTCAGCTTTCATCCTTGTTGCATTTTTTTCCCCTTGTGCTTTTTTTCCATGTACTCTGGGGTTGTTGAAGTGCCTGTTTGTATTTTTCTGTCTGTGTGATTAAGCAACAGGACTTTCACCTCTTAGTAGAGCACAGCTACACTCATGAGCAAATGTAAAGCAGATGTAGTGAAGGGCAGTGACAGTACGTGAGATACACAGGGCATATTGAGTATGTGCTGTTGTGTGTTAAGGGATTCTGACAGGTTGTGGATATGTCCGGACACATTTCCAGCCAGCTGCTGTTACATAAGAGCAGAGGGCTGACATGCTACACTGACAAGTCTGACTTCACTGTGAATAGTATTTTAGTTTTCCCCGTAGGTAACAGAGGACAATGCAGACTGATTAAATCTGTCCCCCCTGTAGATTTGGGGGTTATTTTTAACATGTTTTTATGAATAGCTTTAAATCAAATTTATCAGAACCCTCAGTTGTAGTTTCTGTACTTTAACGTAACCGTTTGATTTTGTACTAACACAACTAGTAGTATGAAGTGTGTGTGTGAGTGCATAATAAGATCCAGGGTCATTTTTTTTTAACTGTACGGATGAAAGTAAAGCCAGCTGTGGCTGCTGTGATCCACAGTGATGTAAGTGAAATGGGATCTTGAATGCATCCAGATGTCTGCAGTATTACTCCTGTACACTTAGATACACCCTCCGACTTGTCCTATTTTAAACAGCCGATTCTTTTGTTACAACAACAGTTGTCTGTGTTGAGGTTTGAATGTTATTTTAGTCTTTGCACAGTAGAAATGATTTGATCTCCCCCTGTCTTGTCCTGTCTGCTGCTCTTTTTTATTGATACATTCTTATCCAACAGCCTTACATGTGACTGCTCAAACAATGAGGCTGAGAATGCGAAAAGCGTCTCAGCAACCGAACCCCAACGTGGCAAACCGCCCATCCAGGACCAAGCGGAGGCATTCAGAAGTAGAAGAAGACACTCCAACCAGTGGTGGGAGGGGCATATTTTCAACCATCAAAAAGTTTATCAGAGGAAATGCTGTAAAGGTACAACTATCTGCCGGATTATGTTGATGATGTTATGTTTGAATAGAAGGATTCAAATATTATTATACGGAAACACGGGCAACGCACTCTTCTTTGTCGCTCAGAATGTGAAAATCACCTATTTGGCACGTCTTATTTTCTTACTTTCCTGGTCCCTCAAGTGTTTCTTGGTGTAGTGTCATGTTTCCCAAGAAATGTTTAGAGGAATGCAGCCGCTTGTCCGACAACTTGGACTTGGGTCTAATTTTAACTTTTGGCTCACAGAGTTGGTGTGCAGGGACAGGAGGTACTAAGAAGAGGAAAAGTCAACTCAGCTAAAGAACCTCATCTTTTTGGGGAAAATGAAAAAATTGTGTTGTTTATAGAAATACTGTTAGAAATACAGTCATGTTCCAGGTGGATTTCCTTAGCCTGATTTATTGTAAATCTGTAAATCAAACTAATTTTAAGATGCGTGTGTGGGTGTTGTTTGTTTTTTTAAATGTATTTTCTATATTTATATTTTATTTAGGTTGAAAGCCCAGCTAAGAAAGCACGGCTCCATTGTGATGTGGACAACAACCTGATCACCTCTACGCCTACAGACACAAACAATCCTCGCAAAACTATCAGCAGGGTTGGCAGAAGAGGTTCTATCAATGGAGGTAGGGGTCTTTAAAACAAAGTAGGGCTGTGACTTTGACAATGTAATTATGATTAATTATTTACTGAAAGATTAGTGCATTTAAAAAAAAATTAATGCACTATTTTTACACAACCTTACGTGTGTAAAATCAATCCATACTATGAAGTGTAAAAATACACCATCAGAATGTAAGGAAGAGAAAAGAAAAAAAAACAGAACTCTTCCTGCCATAGCGATCACACACCAGATGTGTTGAGCCGAAACACTTTCTGTGTGGGAAGAAGCAGCCGGTGAGTGTGACTGTTGATACAGAAAATCTGTTCCTTGGCCCGGTGGATGGCAAGTTTCAGTTAAAAAAAAACTGTCGCATGGAAACATAGATAAGAGCACAGTTGTATGCAACATAGGCAACAAATAATTTGCCTATCCCCGAAGCAATCAACTTACTTCACTGCAACTAAAAAAAACTGTGGTCACGGACACCAAAGCTATCATACAAAGTTGCCCCTTACCCATTGCCCAAAGCCCCTAATTATTTTTTGTAATAAATTTCTACCAGTAAAAAAAAAAGTCATATTCAGCCTATCTCTGTCAGCCCTACTAAATCTGTGACTTTTCTGCAGAAGCAACCAATCATAATAGGAACAAGGAAAAGCCCAATGGCAGTCTGGAGGAGACAAAGGCAGCTGAGTTGACAACCAGTCCTCAAAGAACCACCCTTTTAGGGACCATCTTTTCCCCGGTCTTTAACTTCTTCTCACCAGCCAAAAATGGTAAGCAGTACAGGTCACAGGAATACAGCCAACATATTGAAATGCAGCTAATAATTCATCATTTATGAAGATCATGAATATGTACAGATCAGCTCTGTCGGAGGATGCCGGAGTTCATCATTTTATTTACCTCTTACCATGCTTAGACTAAAGTTTGAAGATATTTGTTGGTGGTTGGGCTGTCAGATGTTCAGCATAAGGATTTGTTTGGAGGGAATGCTGGGGTTCAGTTGGGAAAAATGTTTGGAGCACTGCAAGTCTCTTCCATCTCTTACTCTAACAACTGTTTGTGTTTGTGTTTCAGCTCCGTCTGGCTCCGACTCTCCAGACCAGGCACTGGAGGCTGAGGAGATTGTCAAGCAACTGGACATAGAGCATGGAGAGGAGACACCCACCAGCACAGCCACATCCACGCAGGAGCTTTATGCTACCACTAACTATTACTCCAGTGTTACACAGCTGCCACCTCTACAACATCCACACATCCCTGAAGCATCTCCCACAGCAGAGGAGGTTGAGGTTGATGCAGTTTCAGACCTTCCACCTCTCACAGGTAGATGTCACTGGCACACGCTTGTCTCCATAAAGTCATGCTTCAGGGTCTTTTTTTATGACATGTTGCTTCTTTGTTTTTTGTTCAAAGCCCCAGGATCAAGTCCAGATATGACATATGTAGACTCGCCTCCCCCCACAGTACCACCAGAAGCTTCCTATGAGGAAGACTGGGAAGTCTTTGACCCGTGAGTAAACTGTGAACTACTAAGATGTTTAGACCTTAGCATTTCTTTATACAGAAGCAAACAATTATAGCGTTTTGTCATTATAGAAATGGGTATGGTGATGTTTTTGTGTCTAAGAAGAGTTTTTGAATTAGTTTTTTTTTTTTTGACTCAACTGAGGTCACTTACACACTTGCTTGGAATATCTTCATGTTTGTCTTTTTATATATTGTGTTTCAGGTACTTCTTCATTAAGCATGTTCCACCACTGACAGAAGAGCAGCTCACCCGCAAACCAGCTTTGCCACTGAAGACACGCAGCACACCGGAATTCTCTTTAGTTCTAGACCTGGTTAGTTTTTATTTTTTTCCAACACTTTTTTGAACACTTGTCATTGTTGGTGTATTCAACTGTTTCATAAGGTGTTCTGTTTAAATTCTAAAAAATATTTCTTTTGGTTTTTCATGTAGGATGAAACATTGGTCCACTGCAGTTTAAATGAACTAGAGGATGCAGCACTTACCTTCCCTGTTTTATTTCAGGATGTCATTTACCAGGTAAAGTCTGCTTTTCTATTCTGCCACTAGGGTGTGCTCAAGTCATATTTTGGGTGTTTAAATGTAGGAAGCCTTAAACGGATGTCTTCTGCAGGTCTATGTGCGCCTGAGGCCGTTTTTTAGGGAGTTTCTGGAACGAATGTCTCAAATCTATGAGGTAAAGTTATACATATCTCCTATATGTATTTGTTTTAATACATTTAGTAACATTGGGACAAAATATGACTCCTTTTTTTCCTATTTCATAGATCATCCTTTTTACAGCCTCCAAAAAGGTGTATGCAGACAAACTGCTAAACATCCTGGATCCTAAAAAGCAGCTAGTGAGGTATTGTGTGTGTTTTATGTACATTTTTAAAAGAATATCAGATTTAAATCCTTGTTAAAACGAAGAGCACAGAAAGCATCACATTAAGCCCCGGCTTTGACACTTGCTGCTGCTGATGTTATGTGTCAGTGTTGTTGAATTATTGATTGCAGTGACTTGGTACTGATTATTTGTTTGTTTGTTTTCTTTCTCTCTGTCTTTTCTTTCCTTCTCGGATGAAACCGTAGACACAGGTTGTTCCGTGAGCATTGTGTCTGTGTCCAAGGAAATTACATCAAGGATCTCAATATCTTAGGGCGAGATCTGTCCAAGACCATCATCATTGACAATTCACCACAAGCCTTTGCATATCAGGTGAACACCCCAGCACATGCCTTGACAAACAGCCCTCAGGATTGTTTTGTTTTAATTATTGACCAAACCAATGTATGGTGTACAACCAGCGAATGTAAACAAAGCTTTGTTCCTTGTATATCGCTGGGTGACAATGTATTTGATCACTTTAACGCCGTACATTGGAATAATGGACCAAGGCTTTTTTGATAAAATTATGGGAGATGACAGCATAACCACGAAACACTGTAGGTTGTTGACATGCTAAAGGGACCACCTGTAACCAATTTCTTCACAACATTTTTGCAGGAAAGGTATTTTATTAGTTAGCTCAGATAGTAACAGTCGTGTGTAGGACTGGTTTGGTTTTACTCGTGGTATCACCTACAGGTGTTGTTGTTATAGTTTGATGGTTTGTCAACAGCTCCTCTTTGTGCTCCATCACTGAATTATGCTGATGTGATTTTGTAATGGTTGCTTCAATGTGGATGAGTACCTTACATAGGTGACACAGATAATACAAATGCAAGTATAAACAAGCTGCAGCAGTTTTAAAAGCCAACATGAAATTAGGCACAAAGATAAAAAAAAACATGTTAAATATGTGTGAATACATGCTCTTGTATTCTGCTGCTTTCACCAAACACACACGTTGGGTGCAGACTCTATTGATCGAAAAAATCATATAATTTTATTAATAAATTCACTTAAAACTTCTACCGTTGGTTTCCTAAACACCTTTGCACTGAGTGTGTTTCTCGATCCATTCTTTAACTGTGGGCCCGGTGTTTAGTTACTTTAGAAAATCTAACGTGTGATTCCTGTTTGTGTGTTTATTCGGCCAGTTGTCCAATGGGATCCCCATAGAGAGCTGGTTCATGGACAAGAATGACAACGAGCTGCTGAAGCTGGTGCCCTTCCTGGAGAAGCTGGTTGAGATGGTGAGGTGTTCTCAAGAACTACATCGCAGTGATAACTAACGCTTCTAAAACAACATGTTCTCACTCTATCATTGTTGCTCTTGACAGAATGAAGACGTGCGGCCACATGTCAGAGAACGGTTCCGTCTTCACGATCTGCTGCCCCCAGATTGAATCCACTCAGACTCTCATTGTGGGACAACATGGGGGAAAAAAATTTCAAACAAACGTGTGTAAAAAGTCCCTCTTTGGATAATGACTGACAACATTGCCAGTACTCTTAAAAGATCAAGCTTTTTTTGATTTGTTTTAAAGCCATTACTTTAGAAGACGAAACAAAATTTAAGGAACTGGGTGACATTTTTCTAAAAGAAAAAATTTAAGTGTACAGATGATGTGACATATGCTTTGATCAAGCCCAGACAGACTCCTCTCTCCAACCGACTCTTGCAGCTGTGGAGCCAAAAGTCGTCTCCGCGTTAAACTGAAGTCTTGGTGCTGATTGAGTGGATGTGGGGGAGGGGGGAACACCATCTTAAAGAGGAACTCACAAACCCACTGAGTCTCTGAACACAAATCAAACCCTGGTGCTCACACAGTTAATGCTGAAGAAAAGCCACACTCTGTGGCCACTATTTCAAGTGGAAGAGACTGACCCATCAATCAATTTCTGCATGTGTGTATGTTTACCCAAAGTCCCCCCCAAAACACACACACACAAACAAACACACACACTTAAGCTGAATTGATGTCTGGCAAATCTTCAACCTGTAGCTTTTTTTAAACATGCATTCCTGTGTAGCTGAGTCTAACTTTTTTTTATTGCTGTTTCTTTTCTGGTCAAACCATGTTTTGTTTTAAGGAGTTTGTCAGAAAGTTGTCTTTTTATAAGGTGACAATATTTTAAAAGGTTTGTTACTCTTTGTTGTGATCCATTCTTCCTATTTGGAGAACATGGTTTGGTGTAAATGAATTCACTGCAGAGTTGGAGAGAATGACATTTTTTGAATATTTACTGTTTGAGGCAGATTTAAATAAGTGTGTTGACAGTACTGTGGAAACAGTGGGGCTTACTAGTTATATGTAAGGATAAAAAAGACCTTAAATCATGTAAACACACTCTAACAACATAATGGACTGAGGGCATTCTTTTTCAGAGATGATTTCCATGCGTTTGGTTTGATTTTGTGTTGTTTTTTGACGATATTTGGCTTCTCTATAATTAGTATTGTCTTTGACTCTTATCACATGTTCTGGATAAATCACACTTCTGTTTCTTCTCTCTGTAGTCATTTTCTCCTGGTTATTGCAGTAGCATTAAGGCTAATGTAGCACATCCCTGCCAGCGTGTCTTGATCTGCGTGTGGTATAAAAATATATATACTGTATATCTCTGACCAAGAAGACCCTGCACCAGCCCCACCCTGTGGCACCAGCAACACAAGTGTTTTTACCCTCGGCTTCACTCGCCTGTTTCATACTTTCGTTTTTAACAGCCCCACCTCCCCCACGCCCTCAGCACATGTATTAAGTCTGTGTTAAGACGATAGACAAAATCAAAGTGTTTCTGGCCGTCTTTAACCTGCGCACGACCCAAACTGAAATTTCACTCCCGTTGTTTCATCCTAATTTATTTAGCAGAGCAACAGTGGTTCCAGGTCCCACGGTAGGAGTGGTGTCTTTACCATGTCCACAGCTGTGAGACACAGGTCAGTCAGTTGAATCTTATCAGTCATTGGTCAAACCTGTGACTGTAAACGAGGTCTGGTCTGCAGCATGATTTGGGTTTGCTTGTCCAGTGCCATAAAGACCTGCCCCTTAATGGAAAAAAAAAAGAGACAATCAGACCTCACTGCTCCATGTGAACTTTTCAGAGTGCAGTTGTCATTTTATCACAATTCCATCAAGGTACAAATCTTAGTGTTTTTTTTTCTGATTCCTCCTCAAACTGATCTTCTACCAGAAGAAAGTTTTTTTTTGTGTACAAATTACTACAGCCTAAGCAACGCCACAGTTATGATTCCTGCCATGATGTCAAGTGTCCAGGTGATGAATGTAAACCAAACGTGTGGTCGACTTTACCTTTTTGGACTTAGTTAAGGAGATGATGTAAGCTCACATCTGTTGTTGAGTGGAGGAGACCGTAAAGTTAAGGAGATGATGTAAGATCACATCTGTTGTTGAGTGGAGGAGACCAGAGCAGTGACAATGATGAGTGTGTGAGGAATTGTCGTAAGGTCCCACCATGGTTCCCTTTGCAGTCTCAGTTTCCCATGAGTACGTGTGCTGTAGTGTGGACGTGTCTGACTCCTCTCCTTTGAATGGATTGTGTAACTTGTTTCTGAAGGATTGGGGGGGTGTTTTTGATTTCTATTTTTTTTAATCTAGTTCATTTTTATGTGCATTAGCAGTTTATTGTACAATGGGTGTGTTGTATGATACGTGCAGATTCATGTTTAAAGAAAAAAGTCCTTAAAGTAAGGAAAACTTTTGTATTTTTATTTGAAAAGGCATGTCATACTGTATCTACTTTTTAAATGTATTAATGAAGATTTAACTTTACGACAAATGGAGTGTTTTGTTTTTTGTTTTTTTTCTTATAAATATCTGTACGTTTAGTTTAGCGCTGTCAAGAACTGTTAGTTAGCATGTAAAGGAACAAAAAAAAGCAGCTTGCTTTGTGGGAAAGTCCTGAATTAAATCTTAATGATGGCACTTTATTCCTGCAGATGAAAAGCAGACGTGGTCATGACTTTTATTTTTCAGTATCTGTTAAGCCATTGATGTTTTTGCTGAAGATGTATTTAAAATATTTTAAGACATCTTTTCATGGCCTCTAGGCTGTATGCTATTGTAAAGTGTAAATACAGTTACATTTTCTTTTTGAAACAAAGTTTTAAAGTAAAAAAAAAAAGACCTCTTTGTTTTTATTTCACTCTAGTGTCTTGAAACATACAGATGTCAGGAACTAAGAAAAATTGTTATTTTGAAAAAGTGAGTTATAAATATATTAGATGATTTAAGAAATGTTAATGTAGTTTAGCATTGAACTTATGTTGGAATGGAAAAATTATTTTTTATTATCGCACATTCGATTGGATTTTCCTTAATGAATGGATTTGTTTTGTTTTTTTTTATCTAAGGCCTAAATCTCTATTGGAGTCTGAAAACAGTCAAAAATGTATATGAATATGAATGACATACTGTATATAAGACAATTTTTTTGTCCAATTTCAGCACTCTTTTGGTTGTTTACATACATATATATTTTTTTTAAATTTTCTTTTTAATGCCATACAAGTGTATCCACACAAGCGGATACAGAAAAAGTAGAAACTTTATTGTTGCTCCCTCCTTAAAGAAGAATTATGGAAGCGCTAAGGGAGGTAACCCAAGAAATCTAATATTTGACTAAAGTAATCCCAGAATATTACAAAAATAGCTAGCAGTCCAAATAGTTTAAGTTGGTCAGAAAACAACCAAGTTGACTTAAATGTTGTTTTATGTTTTATTTTCTGGTCATACGGTTGACTACCAACTGGTCCCATTTTCAACAAGGACCTGATAAAGTCAACAATCATGGTATAAAAAAAAACAACCAGTTAGTAAATATTAAGAATGTCAAAATAAAGGCCTTAATCTCGTTAATTTATCTGGGGAAATGAATGCATCTGATAGAGTGCTGACAGAACGATGCACACCATATACAATATTTAGACTTCACTTATCATTGCTCACATAAAAGGTCCATACACATTTTCTATGTACTCAATGAGAGTTTTTGTTGCACAAAATAGATGCATTTTATTTTTCCAGCAATATACAGAAAAAAGTTTTTTGTCAGAATGTATAGGACTTTAGATTCATCGTAATTAATCCTGACTAATTGTGATTAATTGTGACTAATCTTGATTTAAAAATGCATTGAAGATAGGGTTGTGGTTAAGGAGCTTTAAATAATTGGAAAAAGTAGCCAGAAAATACAGTAAAAGTCCTTTATTTTTAGAGGTGATAACCATGAAACCTGAATATTGGGATAAACATAAATAATTATAATTCTGGTGATTCTGGTGATAAAATTATAGCGTCCTATTCATTTTCATCTTAAAATAAAAGCCATTACTCCGTTCTGTGTGACAGACTTGTCCTTTGTCTCACATTATCTGCAATTGTCTGAAAAGATTAAGCAGTAGATGATGTAGAAATTCAATTAGCCTTTATTAGATAAATATATTAAATATTATTAATGAATAAGAAGGTTGGAATTCTTTTATTATTGTTCCTCTGTTGGTGCATATTTTGCTACATTTTCTCTTACATTATCTGGGCCATGTGCCCTCAGACACCACCAGGTCAGGCTTTAGCAGCAGCAGCAGCAGCTGACAGGTCAACTCTCTGCTCTGGTGTCTCCTGGCTGTCCTGACAGGACTCAGGTTTCGGATGGAGGAGCCTAATCAACCCCCTCCATCAATAATTCACCGTCCAGGGCCAAGCTTGTTGCAGAAATCCCTTCTGCTTTTCACAGCCTGCCTTTCGCACCTTTTCCCGCTCACTTGTTAACGGTGTGGCTGACCGCGACGCTGCAGCTTGAGCAGGTGTAGAGTTTCTGAGGAGGCTTCAGTCCAGAGCAGAGAGGTGGCCCCCAGTCTGATCACGATGACGATGAGGATGAGGCAGATGGAGGAGACTCGGGACACTACTTCACCAGCAGGACTCTTCTTCTGCCCCACTTAAATATCTGTGATTCAACCACAGAAGAAAAGTCTTTTCCTGGAGTGTTTTTCTGTATGGTCTTAAAATGTGGTCGACTTCTGGCATCCTTATTGTCTGCCTCCTTCTATTTGGTATGTAGAAATGCATTACATACTCTTACTGTTGTATCAGTCAATACTGTGTTGTGTCAAATACAGATGGCGTACTTAGACAGTACCTCAAGGAAAAAGGAAATTAAAAGTCTAAAATTTAGTTTTTTTAAGTACAGCAATACTATTCATATTTATCTTAAATATCTAATGTCTTGAATATTTGTCTTCATCTGCATTCTGAACAAATGGGTTCAAACACGTCTTTCTAGAAGAGACAAAAGCAAAGCCACAAAATGCTCCAAAAATGATGAGAAAAATGTAAAATAAATCTTTACAAAAATATGATAAGTACATGACAATATTATTGGATCTAAAATGACTTTGAAATACACAACACTTTACTGCAGAACACATAGAACTGAAGAACAGTGGAGCCCAGATTGGACTGTGGATTGGAAAGTACCTGATATTTAGAGCTCTGATTAAGTGGCAAAAACGGAGACGTTGTCAGACATCCCTGAGCTGTACAACCCAGGTTTCCTTTATCTGCTCGGTTCATGGGAGAAGGAAATGCGCTGTTGAACCATTCCTTTTCTGTGCAGTGTACACGTTTATGACAATAAACATAACAAATCTTTGTTCAGTCAAAACACTTGAGTCTAAGAGGCAATATAAATGACAGAAATATCTTATAGTTAGAAAAAATAATGGTTAATCACATAATATCTGTGAAAATGATTCTGCTTTACTTTGTATTATTCCTCAATTTTAATTTTAATTTTAATTTTAATTTTACACTAATGCTATTTTTTGGTGACATATTATGTCTGACACTCGTCTCCATCCACTCCATCCTGCCTATATTCTCTAGACTCTGGATGGTTGACTCTATAGGTACCTGAACCTGTACACCTTACTTTCATACTTTCATCCCACCTCACTTTCATTAAAACACCTTAATTACTGATTTAAAAATAGTTGAACACACTACCTATTCCCTGGATGCGTGGTCTGTTTCTGCTTCTTTACGTGAGCAGAAATCAATATTTCTCCCTGTCTACAGGAATCCTGGGTGACGTGAAAGAAGTGAGCTCCCAGGCCAGAGTTATTCAGGTTGAGCCTGCCGAGGACACGGACAGAGTGAAGGAAGAAATCCAGAACGTTATCAAACAGATCCAGTCTCTGTCTGGCAGAGGGGAAAAGACCCGCAGCTTCACTGCCTCTCCTGCAGGAGAGGCCTTTTTCATAGACACATATTATGGCACACTCAGTAACCTGGTGGCTCTGGTGCAGCAGCTGCAGAAAGATGGATTTATGGACAATCTTCCCAAAACTTTAGTTTGTATTTTGTCTGGGCAGCAGGACTGTGGCGTGGAGGGGGAGCTGACCCAGACGGTGGCAGCAGACCTGGTGCAGCCACTGCTGGCCTTTCTGGCTTCTCTCAAAACCCAGACCTGTGTCCCGGTGAACAAAAACTACCGCGGCCTGCTGGACTCCATGGCGACGGCCTTTGATGGTTTTCAAGAGACTTTAATAAAGATTCTGTCCAGTATTCCTGGGTCTGGAAACCTGATGAGCACCTTGAGCTACATCGCAGATGCAGCTCTGGCAAATGTCTCCACGTTGATGGCATCGCTGCTGCAGGTACCGGTGGACTACATAAAAATAGCTTTACAGTTCGCCATCAGAGTGCCGACTTTTAACGAAGAGACGGAGACTTGTGAAGAAGGTAAAACCTCTTCATAGTGTAAACGCAGTAGTATTTTAACACAATTCCATTCACAAATGACAATGTTTGTTCACTTGTTTTTGCAGGAGATCTCAAGCAGCTCATTTTGTGGTGAGTTTTTGCCATAAAGTTTGATGCTTTAACACTTGTTGGTTTTGATTTGCCTTTTTTATAATAATTATTAAAATGATCAGTCATTTTGTTTTCACCAAGAACGCAATCAATTTGATGTAAAGTTCAATTTGAGTTAAATTACAAAGGAAATGGTAAACATACATTTCTC